TTTTAGAAAAACACAAATGCTTTTCAAAAAGCCCGCCACCTGGCAACCCTGGTTTACAAACGTGAAAATTTGAACGTCATTACGGAAAAATGTTGTTCCTGAGTTGTACTAATGTTTATTATGACTCATTTAATTTGGTTTGGTCGTGTGGCCTTGGCCTTGGCTCATCAAGCGAATCAAAAACCTCATAACAACATGCCGGAAAAATACTATTTAAAAATCATGATGCAGCGAAGAATAAAATATCTATCATTCACCAAAAAAATATTTAAAAATGGGGACCAAACAGAGGGAAATAATTAATTAAAATAATTAACCATGAACAAAATGAATAAAAATTATTCAAAAAATCAAATTAACAAAGTAAATAAAATGGAAAATATTAGTAGTGCATTCTTGTTAATAGAAAAATAAACTTTTGAAATATTGGAAAAACCGAATGTTTCTGCCCCTCGTTTTTTCAACCCTTCTGCAATCCCAGCAGTTGAAATAATTCACCCGCTCAAAAAATAAAAAAAAATGGCATACGTCGATTCATCCCTCTCCGAAGCGGAATAATTTTCTATCAAATATTACCATAAGATTCGTATCATTATCCATACGTAAACATCGGACTTCCATATTCAGTTCTCCATTATTCACATGTGTTTTGACAGCACTAACGAATCCCGTCAGCTTTTTCATCATTTCATTGAAGCTAAATTCTCAAATTCTAAAAGTAAGCACCTACCCCCAACGAGTGAAACCCACGGGTAAAATGACTTTGCATTGCAGATTTTGTAGATTTAATCGTGGAGAGGTACTTTTGCAGGAAGGGAAACCGAAGTGACTGTCTGATGTAAAACACCCGAGAGAGAAGAGCTACTCGTTTTACGAGTCTTTACGGTGGCTTGTGTAACTTACACTTTTTCGTTTGCGTATATCAGTGGAATTTGTCGCGAAAAATACGGGAGAAGTGTTTGAAATTAGATACAAAATCACGCCGCTAAATCTCATTGGACGGGGAAAAAAGTATATTTCACACTTGATTATAATATATTCGATTTTTAACGCGACATCGATTAAAAATTTACTTTCTTTCAAATTGTCGAGAGAATTTCGCATTCTTTAAATTGAGAAATAACTTTGAGGCCCAGAGGGATCCTAACACACAATGAAAACTAATTTGAACTTGAGACTT